ATCCAGGTTGCCAACTTGTTAGAGGCTGAGTATTTGATGTTTAAAGGGGCACTGGCACGGTACGTTCTGGCATAGATACGAAACTCTGATGATTCTCTCGCCGCTGACCTGCTTTACATTTAGCTGCATCTAATTTGCTCAAACTCATGACTAATGCTGCATCTTTCCCAGCGATTCGTGTCACTCTTTGCGACTGTTGATGAGCAATGATCTTCAAAACAGGAAGGAGGACAAAGCACTCAGATGTAATGCTTGGGAATTAAGTTTGTTAGGAAAATCAGCCTAAAGATGAGTACATATCTGAATAACTGCATTTTGTGTGGACTGGTTTGGCTAGAGCGGTGAAGTCTGGGTAAAATAATGAGATGTACAAAACAGAGGGATGTAAGTGGGTGGAGAGAGAGAGAGAAGGGGAGCCAGGAGAGTGTCAGAGAAAGCCAAAATGAGAGGAGAAACTCTGAAATGTAGCCCGACGGGCATCTTGTTTCTCTATACGTCGAGGAGATAAACAGGAGAGCATACACTGTGAGCTCTGCTGGGCTGTGAAAATAAAATCCCGGTGGACAGGAGAGAACAATTTGCAGCCATGCTCTTGTGAAAGGTTTCTTCAACATAACTGGCAGGCAGGAGCATTCCATCTGTTGGCTAATAAAAAAAGTAAGGGAGAGTAAGAATAGGACAATAGAGAGTGACCACACTAATAACACGGTATAACATCAGCATGTGTAATTTAGTTCAGCAACTGTAAAACCTGTATAGATTGCGGTGGTCCGTCAGCAGATTCAAAATGAAACCATAAGTGATCAAATGAACTGCTGTTTTCATCTATTAATTTACTAATGTGCACAACTCAGATGCATAAAATGCCCAGGAATTTTAAATCACTCTGATTAGTAAACTGACCAATCAGAATGGGTATTCAAATGATTATTGGAAATGTTGGTGGTTGGAAAGATTATACTGCAATGTGAATTATCTAAAAAAAATGTTTTATAGATATCAGCGAGACATATCAGCCTTCCCTGGAAAATTGCCTCAGTGTTTTTAAGAGAGATGTATAAAGAGATATAAAAACTGAATAAAAGGGCAGGGGCCACAAAAACAACATAGAAAATATTTGTTTGAACTTTCTGAACCATTAGTAAGAGAGGCAAAGAAAAATGGCCATGAAGCTCTTTAAGGCCACACTTTTCAAGTCGCCCTAACGCTATACTACCAAAAAGAAATTGTCAGGCAACTCTTTCCATATTTATAAGAGGGAATGAGTGTGACTTTCTTGACCCTAATGCTTGTTTTCATTGGATTACAAAGATAGGATGACAAATAACGTTTGTCTTCGGGTGAAGCTGAGTGGCAACCACGAGAGAGCACATTCTCTCAAAGACAGACAGATTTCAAAGAGTTTACCAGTCACCTGCAGGCACTGGGAATCACAATGAGAAGCTGGATGTCTTTTAAGATGTTATATATCTATATAAAAAGCTATGTAGAAAGGAAAGGGAGCACCAAACAGCATATAGAGGAAGAAAATCATGACTGAATTACAGCAAGAAACCTACTGGGTGAAAATCTCATGTAAACATGTCCAGGTCATATTTAACAAACAAATAAATTATTTAAAAAAAGCTGATAAAATAAATAAATTGCATTTGCATGAAGAAAATCAAGCCTGTTATGAAGTGTGACAACGTTTCCAACATTTTCATTATTTTTCTTTAATATATATATTAAACTGGCAGGGATGCGCCTTTCCCTCTGTTTAATATGCGCAGGAACCCGCATGGATTGGGTGTAAAAACTGGAATGAATAATTGATGCGGCGTGGTGCCACAAAGCACTTTCTTTCAGCTAATTGGATTTAAAGAGAGCGAGGGATAAAATATTATCATTCAGCCTATGTGCGCTGAAATGGTCAGAGAGGTAGAGAATAATAGCATCTGCACCCCGCTCATTAATCCAGGTTGCCAACTTGTTAGAGGCTGAGTATTTGATGTTTAAAGGGGCACTGGCACGGTACGTTCTGGCATAGATACGAAACTCTGATGATTCTCTCGCCGCTGACCTGCTTTACATTTAGCTGCATCTAATTTGCTCAAACTCATGACTAATGCTGCATCTTTCCCAGCGATTCGTGTCACTCTTTGCGACTGTTGATGAGCAATGATCTTCAAAACAGGAAGGAGGACAAAGCACTCAGATGTAATGCTTGGGAATTAAGTTTGTTAGGAAAATCAGCCTAAAGATGAGTACATATCTGAATAACTGCATTTTGTGTGGACTGGTTTGGCTAGAGCGGTGAAGTCTGGGTAATATAATGAGATGTACAAAACAGAGGGATGTAAGTGGGTGGAGAGAGAGAGAGAAGGGGAGCCAGGAGATGTATGACCATTGTAAACAATGAAACAGAAAAAAAGGCATCAGCTCTGCTCCAGAAAGTGCGCCAAGCATAAAATATTCAACTTTTTTCATTTATTTTTTTCCCTCTATTATTTTTTTAATGTTTATTTGTATCTTTACATATTCATTTTCAGCATGAATAATTATATTTACAAGGCCAAGACACTTTTTTCCCCCCACAGACAACATCACATCATAGTCCCCGGTGGACAGGAGAGAACAATTTGCAGCCATGCTCTTGTGAAAGGTTTCTTCAACATAACTGGCAGGCAGGAGCATTCCATCTGTTGGCTAATAAAAAAGTAAGGGAGAGTAAGAATAGGACAATAGAGAGTGACCACACTAATAACACGGTATAACATCAGCATGTATAATTTAGTTCAGCAACTGTAAAACCTGTATAGATTGCAGTGGTCCGTCAGCAGATTCAAAATGAAACCATAAGTGATCAAATGAACTGCTGTTTTCATCTATTAATTTACTAATGTGCACAACTCAGATGCATAAAATGCCCAGGGATTTTTAATCACTCTGATTAGTAAACTGACCAATCAGAATGGGTATTCAAATGATTATTGGAAATGTTGGTGGTTGGAAAGATTATACTGCAATGTGAATTATCTAAAAAAAATTTACTGATCCACGAGCCTTCCTCTTCATTCTTTTTCATGTTAGTGTTCTTGGGCTGGTCCACATCCTGGCTCTATTTCAGCAGCCATTCGTTCACTGTAAGTGGAAAAATACAATATTATGCTGTTGTTTATCACATTTCACTCTACTTCATGAAATCACAGATTTTTCACATAGTTTATATAAAATGTCCCGATATTATTCCAGATTACCTTTTCTGAACAATCCATCACCTTATTGGTGAGGCCATGAAGCTCTTTAAGGCCACACTTTTCAAGTCGCCCTAACGCTATACTACCAAAAAGAAATTGTCAGGCAACTCTTTCCATATTTATAAGAGGGAATGAGTGTGACTTTCTTGACCCTAATGCTTGTTTTCATTGGATTACAAAGATATGATGACAAATAACGTTTGTCTTCGGGTGAAGCTGAGTGGCAACCACGAGAGAGCACATTCTCTCAAAGACAGACAGATTTCAAAGAGTTTACCAGTCACCTGCAGGCACTGGGAATCACAATGAGGAGCTGGATGTCTTTTAAGATGTTATATATCTATATAAAAAGCTATGTAGAAAGGAAAGGAAAGGGAGCACCAAACAGCATATAGAGGAAGAAAATCATGACTGAATTACAGCAAGAAACCTACTGGGTGAAAATCTCATGTAAACATGTCCAGGTCATATTTAACAAACAAAAAAATTATTAAAAAAAAGCAGATAAAATAAATTGCATTTGCATGAAGAAAATCAAGCCTGTTATGAAGTGTGACAACGTTTCCAACATTTTCATTATTTTTCTTTAATATATATATTAAAAATATATAATATAATTATATAAAATATATAGTCTATGTTTTGCATTACAATAAAAAGAATATGATTTGGGGGGCACAATCAACATACCTCTCATAAAATATTGTTATGCAAAGAATTTTAATGAAACCAAAATAAACAATTAATTTATAAATATAGTTCTCATTTCTGAAATATGACCTGGACATGTTATTGACAGGTTTTTAGCCTACCACTGCTAAAACAAAATGACACTTCAAACTTGTTTCTTGTTTAAACTGAATTACAACCCAAGAGAAATCTCTTAAGATGACATTCAGAATGATTGTTATTATGTGTTCTTATAGATGTTTGTCCAGGAAATGACGTCTGGCCACGTTCACTGTTCTTTATGCCTTTGAGCATCTGGACATTTGTATCTCCATGGACTTTTAATAAAAGTCTTGCATAATTTCATGCAGCAGATGCTGCACTTAAATTCCCTGAGAGCTGAAGACCTTTTCATTGCCTTATAAATGTATTATATACTTTATGAGGACTACTGTAACTAACAAAAAAACATGCAATGTATACATATACAGACACAGACACAAACATAGACACAGACACGCACACGCATAGAGTGTATATGTACATATGTGTGTCTTGTCTTTTGCTTTATATCACCATGGCATTGCACTATAAACACAGTGTATGACCATTGTAAACAATGAAACAGAAAAAAAGGCATCAGCTCTGCTCCAGAAAGTGCGCCAAGCATAAAATATTCAACTTTTTTCATTTATTTGTTTCCCTCTATTATTTTTTTTAATGTTTATTTGTATCTTTACATATTCATTTTCAGCATGAATAATTATATTTACAAGGCCAAGACACTTTTTTCCCCCCACAGACAACATCACATCATAGTAGTCTTTATGATGGTTTTTGTCTTGACAATAAACCTGCAAGGCTGCCTCTCCCTCCTCTCCACAGCGTGAGCGAGAATAAAGATTGAGAATGCAGTTATGTTTCAAGGATGTTTCTGTACTGGTAGGGTGGTTCAATGTCCTGTCCCTTTTTCCCAGATTGGTAGCAAGTTGTCCTTATGTACAAAGGCTAAAAACATTCAGTTCCATTTGTGAAGAGCCTATGGAATAAATGTTATATTTTTGTAGTGTATCCCCCCCCCCCCCCCCCCCCCCCCAAAAAAAAGGTATCAAAACATTTGTGTAGTTATAACTGTATGTCACTAGTTTTGATTGGATGTATGAAATTGGATTACTTTGCCAAGAGTGCAAAGTCTCTTCTTGCTGGGGTTTGTTTTTTTCTTTACAACGTCATGATTTTATCTGGCAGGACATATGTCAGTCTTCATTCTGTACTGATCCACGAGCCTTCCTCTTCATTCTTTTTCATGTTAGTGTTCTTGGGCTGGTCCACATCCTGGCTCTATTTCAGCAGCCATTCGTTCACTGTAAGGGGAAAAATACAATATTATGCTGTTGTTTATTATCACATTTCACTCTACTTCATGAAATCACAGATTTTTCACATAGTTTATATAAAATGTCCCGATATTATTCCAGATTACCTTTTCTGAACAATCCATCACCTTATTGGTGAAAAAAGGGTTAAAATATGAACATGTTCTAAGACAAAAATCATAAGTTAAAATCATTACAAGTTAATGTTAACTGGTAAGAAAATACACATCCACTTATCTCAACATTATCCCATTACAATAGTCCCAAATGTTTGCATATAATTACATGGAGATTTTTAAAGCCATATTAAATATTAAATGTATTATAGTAAATCCAGAATAGCAAAATGTAGTCTGAATCATTGCACACTTATTTACTGAAGTCTGTTAAGTTTAACAGAGACTCGCTTGTTGTTATTAATGTTGTCAGGACAAGACTTGAAAAGGACAAAATGTAAATCTTTCGAACATTTACAGATAAGGATATACTGTAAGATGTAAGTTATGCATTTAAAAAACATGTACATTACGTTTTTTTTCTCTGTCGCTTTAGTACATTTCTCAGATCCCAGCTGAAATTCTCCAAACTACTTGTTCAACCTCCACATCATAAAAGCAATTTCTCATACTTTTGAACAAATTGCTAAAGCTTTGGTACATTGATTATGTAAAATTGTCTGCTGTTTCCTACATTATTAATTGCTTGTCATGTTGATGAAAATAAATTATACTGATTGTGTTGAATAGTCTTCCCCCAAAACATCTAGGTATTAGTTCATTGTATAAGTTATTAAATGCAAAAATGGTTCAACTAGTTGTCAAACTGTCAAACCTATTTTCTATACATTTCTACTAGACCTCTTTTTGTAAATGTGTCCTGAATTGATGAATTGCACAGGTGAATCTTGAATTTCACTAATTAAGGGAAATGTAAATTGTTAGATCAACCAGTGATCAACCATTTCTCTAAAATAGCTCAGAGGTACATCTAACAAACCTTCACTTATAAAGAATATATAGATCGGGCACAACACAATGTTAATTTCTAACAGTGGACACAAAGAACAACAAGGAAACAAACAGGGTCAACAGTTAAGAAGAGGTGTAGGGAGGCAAAACAGAGAAAAAGGTAGAAGAAGCCAAGGATGTGTGGACCATGTTCTCAATCATGACCTTAGGTCAGAGGGAGGTCAAAAGGTACAGCCAAATGTTGGGAGAACAACTGTGTCCTCAGTCATTCAAATGTGTGAAGACAGAACAGTCAAAATCAGTAAATATACTTTATGAGGACTACTGTAACTAACAAAAAAACATGCAATGTATACATATACAGACACAGACACAAACACGCACACGCATAGAGTGTATATGTACATATGTGTGTCTTGTCTTTTGCTTTATATCACCATGGCATTGCACTAGAATTTGTTGTCAGACCACCAATAAAAGAGTAACTGACCAGTCTCTTACAATATTGCAATCAATATCACATACAGTAATGCATAAATTTGGACTGTTGAAATTGCCATACAGAAAAAGTGCAGCACTGTGCATTTTCAATCATTGCCATGAAAACCGTAACCATAGTGTATCGGAAAATATTGGCAGACTACACTGCTATTGAAAACATGGCTAAGCATTTGACTGTCTTGTTTCTTGTTTGTGAACCATGACACAGGGACTTGTCATTCTGATGGCACTGATGTGTCCATTGACATAAATGCTTTTGAGAGATGAAATAAAAGTGATGAGCAACTTATAGGCTTTTGCAGTTAATCCATTGTGTGGTGCTCTTTGCCCAAATTGTTGAACTTATTGGTTTGCAGATGTTAAGGATTATTTGAGAAATGCACCAAAGTGACTAAGAAAAACTCTTGACCTGACAGTTGCGTTTAAACTCAATGTGAGTTTTTATGAGTTTGAAGTGCTTAATACAAAGCATGCATCATAGGACAACTTGGATTGTGCAGTTTCCTCTCAGCAGTTTACTCTGATGCATTTGCAAAATCAAACTACTTATATATACAGGAATGTCTCACTGCGTTTGAAAATCATCAATATTGGAGTTTCTGGCTCCTGTTCCATAAGACTCTGTAACATTGTGTTCATGTTCATTGCGCAGTTTCCCAGAATTACATTTTCTCTTGCACTCTGAATATCACCACCTCAAGCTACAATTTAACATTCAATTAGCCCGCAGACAGCTCACTGTGCTAGCTACAAAAGAATGTGTCTCCCTGGTTAAGATACATGACCTCAGATGCCTAACCAACACTAATTAAATGCCTCTATCTGTTCCTTCTCCTCCAAGATATTTACATCTTTTAACAGCTCAAATGTAATAAAAGGAAGGAACCTTTTTTGTATCGCTCATTTACCCACTGGGGTGGTAAATCCAACATCTCAAACAAGTGCCGCACGACTCTGATTCATCACTTCACTGCTGTATCAAAAGTACAAGCAAATTCTCCATAATTAAATTTTGCGATAAGAGCAGGCTCAATAAAGGCTCTTCTTTTCTTTGTTCATGATGCTTTAGTGCTGAAACAATTTACAACAATATCTCAGGCATTCTGGTAGAAGCACAAACACATCTAAAGATGCCTATGGCTCTCCAAGCTCATTACAACATGTGCTACTGAGACACCTAAACCTCTTAAACAAGCTTAGTCAATAAATGATACATGGTCAAGAGGAGATTACCAGTAATTACGCAAACACTTTTAACATGATGACGGAGTAACCAGTGAGTTTATTTTATACATAAAATCACTTCTTTGTATACATGACGCATTTAAGGAAATGGGTAATTTTACGGTTGTTTTGAGGATAAATATTTGCTCATAACTACTGAATAATTCATTTCACTCATCTAATATGTACAAAATGCTTTTGTGTGTATCTGCATGTGCTCGTATTTTTGCATGTTGTATAACAGTACAACGCACCTTAATTATTTCCATTATGAAACCTAGTGAGCAATCTGGTTGCCTACTGCCTTCCTAGGCAGCATACTAACGGTCATGGATCCTCATAAATGTTGCTACTGACTATACATATTGCCAAACACTTTAAAACAGGGGTGCCCAAACTCGGTCCTGGAGGGCCGGTGTCCTGCAGAGTTTAGCTCCAACTTGCCTCAACACACCTGCCTGGAAGTTTCTAGTATGACTAGTAGGAGCTTGATTAGCTGGTTCAGGTGTGTCTAATTGGGGTTGGAGCTAAACTCTGCGGGACACCGGCCCTCCAGGACCGAGTTTGGGCACCCCTGCTTTAAAATGTCAAAAATGTGTAAAGTGAGGTGAAAAGTGAGGAGAATAAAGGAAAAGTTTATTATTATAAATGTACCTTTTCAATAGTTACCTGGAAACTAAACTAACATTTACTCAGTAACTTCAGCTAACCTGTTCATTATGACCAACAATGTTATTCTGCCTTGGAGTCAGTGTTGTTTTGGAGAAGTAAATGATGAAAGCTGTAGAAAAACTTCTGGTTTCATCATGGGCTGGTTTAGTTTCTAATTCAAAGCAGGTTGAGAGATCACAAGAAGCAGCACAGAGACACTGACCTCGGTATTGCAACTTCTGTGCCCTGTTGTTGGGGCAGTCCTTGCCCTGCATGCTGAAGTTGATGTTGGTGCGGATACAGCGGTTGTTCAGAGGCTGTACCGGGCGCACGTTGTCACTCATGCTGAGGAATATCTGCGAGGGCTGGTTCTGACTTAGCAGTCGCATGGAGTGCATCTGTAAGGACGACACAGATGGAGCAGACATTTTATATCGACCCTCTGATGGCAGGTCAGGCAATTATTGCACAGTCAATCTAATCCTAACAGACCCGTATGAAAAAGTGTCTGGGGAGCTACGTGAGAGTGTCATTCAAGAACAGATTATATTACATGTCATCAAAACAGTGTATCTGCAGGGTCAAAAGGGACACATTCTGCCTTTAAGAAGCATGCCGTTAGCTGAATCCATAAAAATTGATTCTTGGATCAAGTAAATAACGCTGAAAGATTTACTCGATTAGTCTATTTGTTTGTTTACTTGCTGTTCTGAAGTTCTGACAACATTCAGTAACTCAACTAATGCACCTTGATGCAGCTTTTCTATTATAATAATCTGTTTATTAAGTCCTCAAGCAGAGCTGATGACATGTATTAATGCATTTTTTTTTTTTTTTTACACTGAAAAATGGTTTGATTGTCCGGTCTCAGTTCCTACCTTCTCAGCATGCACTTGGCATTAATAATTAATATGGTTGCATTGTGTGACTGTTTGCCAGTTTTATTTTCACTGTTGATGTCTAACGATGTCTGGTTGAGTTTCATTCACTTAAGATTATCAGGTACTCTTGTCATGTTTCATGCCGTCTTCATGTCTCTGTGGCATTATTTCATGAGTTTTGTAGTAGTAGATCGATAGTCGTAGAACTTTATGTTCTTAAAATGTTAGTATTTTATACAACTACTTAAACATTACATGATATAAATAGGAAACTGCTACAATGATGGCAGTGTAACATTTTAAGTTCAGTCACGTAGTTTACATGAAATAATTTTGTAAATGAATTTAACAAAAACTCTGCTAACTTAACCAAAAACTCATTTATTTTAAACAGTGTACGTTGTTTTACCTGCATCTTTGTGACGTAAATTGGCTTGTTCATCAGAATCCACGTTGCGGTCTCGTAGCACGGTGGGATTGTCATAGACCCTTCGTAAGTGATAAAACTTGCCGTCTCTGGATAAACCTCCTCAATGTTTAGCCCAGAGAGCAGGTATGCATCATCTACAAAAAAAATAAAAAATAAGCAAAAAATGCTGTTGCTCACCAATTAAAACTCATCTAGAGAGCCAATTCACAAACATGAATTAGTCATTTTAGAAATCAAAATAGTGCACTTTCCACCCAAGTCTTCATCCAAAGTCAAAATGCAATATATTAAGTAACAAAAGAACATCTTGAAATGATGTCCAAACAACAAAAGCAAAACAGAAAGCAACAATAGTAACCAAACAGTTCTTTATCTTTGCTTGTCAACAGTTCTTTTCAGTATTTATGCATTGCCTTTGATTTGTTGGACAAGCGGTGACAGCACATGTTATTTTGACTTCACAATAGCGGGCCGACATGAGATAATGCTGCTCTGAATTTATGAGAAACAGCAATATTGAACCCACCTTTCACTGACAACAGACAAGTAATAGGTTCTGACTCACGCCAGCCAGAGGAAATAGTTTGTTATTCTCCCTCTATCCCATTGATTACCACTCTATCTCTATCTCCCCGCATGTTTGCCTTTCCACCGGCGGCATCGCGCAGAACTTTGACAGCTTTGGTGGCATAAATAATTCCTTTTTGCTGTGGAGGAGGGGGATACATTTGAAAAATACATGCACTAGCTCCAATGCCGCTGCAGCGAGGGCTGGTAGTAGTGCGTTTCCAAAGATTCAAACGGGAACAGAGCAGAAAACTGGAGAGGCAGGTTGGGGGGGCTCTGACAGCTCTCAAAGCCCACGCTCCTCTGCCCTCCCCCTGGCAGTCGTGTCGAGTCCTCCCTGAGCTCAGCTAGCCTGCGTTCATGCACCGCTGTGGCCAGAGAGACACGCACCAGCCACCAGGGGTCAGAACATTTTATCTATTCATCCGCTCTTTCCCCACCCCTATTAATTCAATTATGAAGGCCTTTTTTCAAAAGTCCCTCTGGTGAGTTAAAGGATAATGCCACAGAACATTTCCACTACACTGCATGTCAGCTTCGACCATGAAATATTCCCAAACTAGATAGTGGTCTGCGTTCTCAAGGCTGAATAAATTTGCTTCTCGACACCTTTGACTTTACTTACACAAGTCTTGTGCCTTCAAACTGCTGCTGTTAATCAATAATTAGCATGAAGGGTTGGCATGAATTGCAGAATTAGGGTGTAACACAGTGCAGTCCATTAGAAAACAGCCTATTAGAAGGGTTCCTCTCTGCACGTTACAATGTGCTGCAGCTGAAGAGCATAAAACTGATAACACATATTGTCATGACTAACTCAATGCTTCAAGCAACATGTCATACCCTACCCTGGTTCCCTCAACAAAAAGCCAGTTGGATCTTTCCACTGGGTTTTGTATTATTGCAGAAAATAAGCTGTGACCAACAAAGGTTCATGGTTCTTACATGTTTTGTTTATCTTCCTAAACGATTTTGTGAATTTTGAAGCCTTAATCTCCAGAAGTAAAAAGCTGAAGTTAGAAGTAAAGTGAAGTATAAAGGCTATATTTAGTAGTACTTCATTGTTGGGTTAGACTGTTAAACAGTTTTTCACCATTTTCGTGCTCAGGATTTTTTAGGCGGGTCTTGATGATGTACTCGACGCACCACCTCTAACATTGTTTACACCTGGTCATTTCATGCATTTTCGCTGATCGGATATCTATCTGATTTGTTAAAACATATCCATTTACACTTGGCCACATAAATGTGTAGTCGCAAAACGGATATAAATCCGATTTTCAATTCCCACACTATATTTAAATTTAACGGAGTTCACGTCAACAAAATCAAAAGATAAGCACTGCATTTTATTAATTATCAGCTCATTTCAAGACCAAAGACCGCAATAGGAGAGCGCGCAGCATCAGCACTGGAAAAATCAGTTTAAATTACTGCAGCTTCTCCGTGAGTGGGCGTGGTTTCAGTGCTGACAGCCGACACGCCCCCAGCATTTGAGGGCAGAGAATACTTCTTATTCAGGGTTTCTGCAGGATTTTTAAGTGCAAATTTAAGACTTTTTAAGACCTGCACAAATACAATTAATACCATATGAGCGGGGTAGGGCAATGTCTATAGTACCATATTAAACTGTAAAATGACTGTAAAAAGCATAATTTACAGTTCATATACACGTTTTCACAAAAACAAAAAGTTTTATAAAATGAAACTTTACATTTCAGCCTTTAAACCATTTTTAAGAAAATGGAGTCGAAAGTATTAATCATTATATTAATTTAAATAATTATTATCAATACATTATTATATAAATTAAAAAACAATTTAGGGGTTTGCAATATTGACAAAAAATATCTCTATATTTTCTGGGATTTTATCGATAACGATAATTAGACGATATTTTGCTGAGTGTGTTCCTGTGCTGATATCTTAAGAACTACCGTGGACAGCTGACTCCTGATTTTTTTTTTATATATTCTGTGTGGTTAGTTCACAGCAGTGACAGAAATTAATCTTTTCCAATAAGTTTTGTGGGCATTTTTACCTTTAAGCCATTTTTCTCTAAAAGTGTGCAACAACTTTTGAGTCAAATTCTTGCATTTGGGCTGTTACCAAGCTAATTAAATCAGTATCAACAAAATTTATCTTTGCAATGCAGAGGAAACACAGAAGCTGCATCTTAAGTTGCATTTAGAAGTATTTACACACTGTTTAATGCAGCTCAGAGGGACATGGAATATTTTAACCTGCAGTTACAAATGCATGAATAATGTTTTGATATTTTAAATATAAAACATTGAAAACTGATGTTTGAAATAATTTTAAAAACAAAATGAAAAGATAATTTAAATGTGAAATTAAATCCGCCAGTAGGTGGCAGCAAGTCACTGTTAATAAGTGAGTCATTGTGATTGAACCGAATCATTTAAACGCTTGATTCATTCAGGAAGGAAACACTGGCGTGTTGCTCAGAGACACAAAACAGTGCTACTTTTTGTTGGCGAAATAGAGCAAAAGCAGGAAATACAGTGTCTAAAACGTGAGTCTCTTAAAGGGATAGTTCACCCAAGAATGAAAATTTGATGTTTATCTGCTTACCCCCAGGGCATCCAAGATGTAGATGACTTTGTTTCTTCAGTAGAACACATTTGATGATTTTTAACTTTATTTAAAAGACATTTGGACATAGTAGTGTATTAGAGGTAAAAAATGATATAAATACTGTTCGGTTTCTGGCACAAACCGATCGTTTCGTGTGTTAGGACATCAATGTGTCGTCACGAGCCGCAGGGTTTAATTTGGATTTGTCTGTGCATGTTTTTTTTTACACTCATAGACTTTGTTACCATTGCCATCCATTATACGACTGATGGACTCCAACGGTTAAAGTTAAAAATCATCAAATGTGTTCTACTGAAGAAACAAAGTCATCTACATCTTGGATGCCCTGGGGGTAAGCAGATAAACATCAAATTATTGGGTGAACTATCCCTTTAACTTGTTTATTGAACAATTTTGTTGTATAAAATCAATATCACATTTGTAATTGTTGACTTTTGGAGAAAAAAACGGCAGTCTTCGTGTGATATTAACTATATGAAATTATTTAAATATACATTTTCTGTCCCCATATCTTGAATTATGTGATCATTCTTAATCAATTTTAATAGACCGATTCATGCAGTGAAAGAACACACTCTAAATGCGCGTGCACTAGTTTAACCTATATTAACTGACTTCATCACCTAATATATGTGTGCAGACTGTGCACTCTGTAGATGTGTTTTGTTTGCTTTTTGCGATGTACTCGATAATGTCGAATCGTACATCGTTAAAACAACAATTATGATATTATCGCAGACCATATATATATAACAACAATTAACAGTCTA